TTTCCATGCTGAGTATCAATGCATCACTATCATCATCAGATGCATTCCCAACAACTGCGCTAATTTCGTTTTTCTTGTTTGGGCATTGACTCTTGACATGCCCAACTTCTTTGCAGACCCAGCACACCACATTCTTTCCAGCCTTAGACGAGCTCTTCCCACGACTCCCACTGTTTCTGTTATTACCTCTTCCCCTGCTGACACTGAGTAACCCAGAAGTAGATCCTCCACTAGCATTCCTCCGGCGAATGTCTTCACCCAAAACACTATCTCGTATTCGATCAAACTTCAAGTTTTCTGTTCCAGCAGTTTCAGTAACCGTTGTCACAAATCCCGACCAACTATCAGGCAAGGAAGATAACAGAATCACAGCCTCACAGCTTGAGTGTCATCATCGAACTTCATGCCTACTGATGACAACCTCAACAAGATCGAATTGACCTCATTAATGTGATCAGCAACTGGGCTGCCTTCGTTCATTCTCATCATGAACAATTCCCTCATCAAGAACACTCTATTACCGGCCGACGGTTTCTCATACATATTTGACAGAGCTGTTAACATACCACGAGCAGTTGTTTCCTTCATGATATTAAACGCCACACTCCTCGTCAAAGCTAGTGTAATTTTACCTCTTGCCTTTTTGTCCTTTGAGTCCCAAATTGCTTCAGCAGCCTTATTCATTCCATCCGGTTTCTCTTCCAGTACCATGTCCAAATCGCACTCACCAAGCAACGCCTCTATTTGCATTTTCCACCATACAAAATCAGTACCGTTGAACTTCTCGATTCGAACCCTCCCGTCCTCGGCCATTGCAAAACGAGAGAAAAAAAACCAGAGAAAAAATCAAGGAATAACGGCCTGAAACCAAGCAACCTTCAAAAGAATACAAACCCTAAAACAAAGAACCCGAACCAACGAGTACCAGGTCCAAAACCAGAACATGGTTGTTTAGTCGACAAGTCGAGTCGAGTCGGTGACGGGGAGACTAGTGGACTAGGCGACTAGTCGTAGACTAGTCGACAAATCATAATTAGTATTGAAATTTTTAACATTATATATATCTACACTAACCCAACATGAATATATATATATTTATATGTCAAAATACCATAACCAAAGCAAACTTATGTTTAAAGATAGCACATAAAG